GCACCGGCTCAGGTGCCGGGATGGCCTGGCGGGACACGCCACGTGTGGCTGAGCACCCCAAACTTGGTGAGGAGTCAGGAAGGAGGTGCCCACAGTCACCCCGGGGAAAAGCTCAGCAGCCTGCCTGCCACGCGGTCTCACCCATTGAACACACGCTGGCCAGCACAGGTTTGGCTTCCTCGGGAAGGAAGGACAGGCGGTGGGGCACTGGCCCACGCAGCTCTGCCCCTTGCACTGGCCTTTCCCTCGCACGCTCGTGCTGCTGGCAGGTGCTGCCCTCGCACGCTCGTGCGGCTGGCAGGTGCTGCTCTCTCGCCACGGGGCTTCACGTTCGGCCGCAGGCAGATGTGTACGCAGGGGTTCATGTGCAGTCGGTACGTCGGCGGGGCTGGGGCTGGCCTGCCCACGCAGCGTGGGCACAGCCACATGCCCGGGCAGGGGGTGCCCACTGAACGTACTCGGGGGCTGCTCTGCAGAGGGGGCCAGGCTGCTGCTGAGCAGGAACTGCACACACCGTGCTCAGTGCCGCCGAGCAGCGTCACAGGAGGCTGGCAACGTCTCAGCCTCAGCTGGGACTGATACTGCCACCAAACCCCACCGCCACTGACCCTTCTCCTTCCTGCAGGTCCGCAGGTGAAGGAAGCACGTGCGCTTGCAGGAAACCCACCAACCCAAAGACCATCCCAGCCTGGTCCTGCGTGGCAGGGACAGGGGCGCAGGTAAACACGCTTCCAGCAAATCTCAGCATCACCCCAGGGCTGCTACATCCTGGGGTCCTCTGAGGATTAGTAACTGGCAGAGCGTGGCCTGGGCAGAAAGTAGATACTGGCTTCCTCCTGCTAGGAACGATCCATCCTTTGAGAAGCGGAGGGGACCCAGAGGGGGCCACAGCTGCCGAAACAGGCTTTGGGGTAGCCGTGTCTGGAGGCGCCAGGGACTGAGGACTCTCAGCGCGCCCCAGCGCAGCGGCAGCGGGGCAGGAGGTGAGCACACGCACGCACGAAGGGGGCTGTTGCAGAGGGTCTCTGAACTCCCTGCTGGCTCTGGGACTCTGTCCAACACGTAGGGTGCCCGTGGCTGGGATGTGTCCATGGGAAAGGACTTCTCTGGCAACAGGCTGGGAGCATGCCCGTCGCTGAGAGACTCTACGGCCTCTGCTTATTGCTGAAGAAACAGACAGCAAAGCCAGCTTGTATGAAACCCGATTATTCAAATTTATTAACATCAAGAATTATGCAATGATGCTGTAGATTTTTTTTTTTTTATTAACAAATAGAAAACAGACTGTATACAACAGTGACCCCTACAGCACTATGCATCCACAAGGTAAAAATGAATGTGTCCTCCAGCATTACCAACCCTGGATTGCTGATTTCGACATAGCTTGGATTCTTAACGTTCGGAATACATGTGATAATACAATTAGATACCCTTCCACCACCTTTATTCATAACTCAATGCACTCGAAAGAGGGCTGTTCACTCCCTGTCTTTAGTGCAAGCGTGATATAATAAGGAGTATTAATATATAGTACCATTAAATTAAGTCCAGTAGTCTTGCCACATTGGTTCATTAGAACGTCCTGAAGTAGCGGAAAGTACAATATTTTAGTGACTTTTAATGTTTGCAGGATAGCAGAAATTGTAGGTAACACCCAACCTCTGAAGCCTCCCCTCCCCTGCTTTCCAGAGAGAGCCTGCCTGGCTCCGCTCCGGGGACGGCTGGGCTTGTGCTCCTTGCCTTTGTAAATGCTCCAACCGCACTTCCCTGGTGAGAGGTGACAGAATGGCGCTTGCACGTGCAGAACCGCAGGATTAACAAAAAGGCCCGTGTCTCGCTCTTCCCATCCCCTCCCTGGCGAAGCGTGCGACCCGCTCGCTTCTCCTGCCCCCTTCCCAGCGAGACACACAAAAAGAGGCTCCAGAGCCTGGAGCCCGGGATTCTTGGTCTCTCACAAACAAGGCGACGACAACTCACGTCATACCGGGATCTGCCAATACACACGGTCACTGTTCAACACATGTCGTGGTAGGACTGAACTGTTTCCAGCTGACAAAGGGGACTGCTTCTCCGGCGACCCCACACGCCCTCCCAAACCCAAACCTACTCAGGAAATAATGGGGAGGAGGGAAAGGCTAAAAAAATAATTGGTAGCTTAGGTCCAGTTCCGTGAAATTTCATATTCTACAGAGGATTAAAAAGCAGCCTACGGGGAATGGAGCCGGGCAGGAACCACAAGCCAGCTGCTGCGAATTACCAAGGAAGCTGCACTAAAATGGGCAGAACCAGCAGTGACTGGGCTGAAATAAACACAGGGCAGTAAAAAATGTAAAAGCAAAAGGAAAATAAAAAAAAACCAACCCCAACTCCCAAAGGTTTGGCGGGTCCAGTTCTGCCTGGGCAAAACAGTAAGACTTGCAAAAAAATAAAAAATAAAGAGAGAGGAGATTATAAAAACCACTAGTAACTATTTTACATGTTTAAAAAAAAGATCCCATTCCACCCACCTAAAGCCTCGCTGTGAAATGCAGTCGCGTGAGAGGGCGAGAGATGCACATGAGCAGAAATTCAGCCAGAGACTGGAAATGCTTTTGGAGTCGGATTCCCTCGCTTGGCGCCGGGGCGAGGTTCCTAAATGCCGTGGTCAGAAACTGGTTGGCGTGGAGGTCTGCTGCCCGGGCAGCTCCTCCGTCTGTACAGAAGGACTGAGGAATGGGCGGCTCTGGCTCAGAGGGACCCGTCTCCACTCCCGGACATCCCCACCGCGACTGGAGGAAAGCACTAGTTACGTTGCATAGTGGTCGAAGCTGCCGAGATACTCCAGTGCCGCCCTGTAGCACAGCTGGTACTGGTCCTGCAAGGCACCGCAGGGACGGAGCGTGAGAACTGGGCACCCCAGGACTCCCCTCGCTTCTCCCACAGATCTCCCACCGCCCCGGGGAGGAGGGGACGCTCACCTCTGTCTGCACCATGGCTGGCCGCTGCGTCCGCAAGGTCTTCACCGTCTGGAACATGTCCACCACCCCCTCGTAGCGCATCCTCTCCAGCACGATGCTGAGCGTGATAAACACGCCTGTGCGCCCCACCCCAGCGCTGCGTAGAGGGAGCAAGAGGTGCCGTTAGAGACCCGCCAGCCCCCGGGGAAGCTCTGCAGAGCTCCTAGGAGTTGGGCAAGCTCATGGAGCATGGGGACATGCTCACTGGGAGCCGGGAGAGGCCACAGGGACATTGCCAGACATGCCTTCTCAGCGCCATGGCGCCCACCGATTCTGCCTCGCCTCTGGGCCGGGCTGCTGCAGCACCCTGCCCTGCCCCAGGACTCTTCCAAGGATCAGTATCCCCAGGGCGCTGGGTTAATCCAGTCACCCAGCAGAAAGGCTGCAATGGCACCCGTGGGTGTTGCTGCTCCCTTGTCCCCTGCCTGCCCCCTGCCAGTGACACGCAGGAGAGGCAGGAGGGCAGGGGAGCTGGCCACTACCGGGGTAAGTGGGGGATGTGTTTAAGAGACGGGTGGATGAGGTGCTGAGAGATATGGTTTAGTGGTGGACAGATACGGTTGGACTGGATGATCTCTAAGGTCTTTTCCAACCCAGTGATTCTATGATTCTGTGAAGTGACGTAGGGGACATCTCCGAGGGCTGATGAAGGCAGAGGTGGGTGCTCATCTGTCCACTCACCTGCAGTGCACCGTGATGGGCCCGTCCTGCCCAAACTGCTCCTTGGTCTTGTGCACCTGCCCGATGAAGTCGATGAAGCCCTCTCCCGTCTTTGGCACTCCCTGCTCAGGCCAGTCTGTAAACTGGAACTGGCGGATGGTCCGTGACTGGCCGTCCTGCGGGGACAGGGGTGTGAGACGTGAACCATGGGTGAGGGGACAGCTAGAGGGGCTGATCTCGCTCCCCTCAGCGCTGATGCTGCCGACTGGCTCTCAGAGCCTCGGGCCTAGCCCAGGTGAGAGCGTGCACAGGCTGTGGATGAGCCCAGGCAGACCTTTCGCTGAGTGTTTGGGGCCTGTCTCTGCTCTCCCTCATTCACCCCAGGGCTGAGCAGTGCTTTGGGCCCTTGCAGGGTCTGCTGGGCTGGCGCCCTGGTCTGTTTGGGGCCCAGCTCCACTGCAAGACGACGTTTACTGTCACACAGGGGTCCTGTGCCCAGTCAGGTGCTGCACACAGTGACTCCAGGTGCTGGGGAGCGCGTGTTAAATGCTCGCCCAAGTGCGCGGCGCAGGCAGGGCAGGGTCTGGTGCTGACAGCGATCCCTGAGCTGCTCTCCAGGGCTGACGCAGCCGGCGAGGAAGAACTTGTGGTGAGAGGAGCAGCAGGTGCGGGGCAGGAGCCCCTTCTGCCTGCAGTGCAAGGCAGCTCCTTGCTTTCCAGTTCCTTAGGAGTTGCTGCAGGCTCCCTTTGCTGGCCTGGGCAGGGCAGAGGCACGGGAGGCAGGGGAGCTGGGGAGCCCGCAGTTGCACTCACCCTGGCATCCGTCCCCTTGAAATCCCGGAGGATGTACTGCGGCATGTTGTACTCTGCCATGGGGTCCACCACGAAGTACTGGTACCGGGCGGAGCGCTCCGCGGGCCAGTACTGATGGCACTTCTCCTACGGAGGAGAAGCAGGGTGAGACATTAGCATGAGCTGCTGCTCCTCCCTCCCGCTCCCTGGAA